AGGTCTCTATTCGTAAACCCGAGCAAAACAGCGAGCCATGCACAAAGCCCTTTCTTGTTCTGCGGTGAACCCACAAGAAAGCAGATAAGTTTGTATTTATAGGCGGAGTTGCTTCTGGAGGAAGATACCTTGCGGTAGTGCCCCGCTGCGGTAGTCTAGTTGTTATGGCATTCGACTACAGACCCAAAGGTAGCGAGATTGAATCCCGGCTGCGGCAGCTGCATTTTCGATGGAGGCGAAAATGTTTGAGGCCCGTGTACTTAGATAAAGGTGCACGTTAGAGAACCACAGGTAGGTCGAAATTTTGGGCGCCCTCCACAAGGCAGTGGTGTAAATAACGAGGGAATCGGAGGGTCCTTACGACCTGTGTGCTCGGGTTCGGGGGGGGGGGGGGGCGGTAGGGGGTGCACCACACATTTATGAAACCCTCTTCATCTCGCTCGATGAAATTTATTTCTCAGGGATGTTACATTGGTTTGACAGTTTCCGCAGGTCGCGGGATTGAATCCCGGCTGTAGCGGCTGCATTTACGATGGAGGCGGAAATGTTGTAGGCCCGTGTGCTCAGATTTGGGTGCACGTTAAAGAACCGCAGATGGTCGAAATTTCCGGAGACCTCCAATGCAGCGTCTCTCATAATCATATGGTGGGTTTGGGACGTTAAACACCACATATCAATCATTTGACAGTTATCTTTACTACTTCAAGAGAAACTTGTTCATACTCTAGTAGGTGCAGATTTATAAGGAAAGATTATTCATTGAAGTGAATGACGTCAACATCGTTTTGTTCGCTTTCGGAAGGTAAAACCGAATCCTGAGTTCCAACAAAAAATGTTGTAGTTCACCAACGATGAATGGCTCACAGAAGGACTTTTCTGCGAGTGAGTATCGCTTTAGTTAATGAATGACGTCATAAAAAGAAAGCAGTCACGTGGGCTCAATCGGTACGAACTGGCCGAAACAATAGCACACTCGGCCACCTGCTGTTGAGCGGCCCGTTGGTTGGTATCACGCAGGTTACTGCCGGTGGTTGTGTGTGCTAAACGCAATTGTGCACTGCGGCGACCGAGCGACGAACTGGTTCGAATGCTATATGAGCTAACGCTGTCAGTTCTTGAAAGGGGACGTGCAGCGGCTTCGGATGACCGGTTACTGTAAGTGAGAACGCTTCTTCTTCTTGCGCAGCAAAAATGGAAGAGCTCTGAAATGAAAGGAATTTACTTTATTATTGAAATTAAGAATATCAGACATCATTCCCAGTGAAGGCAAGATCGCAAGAGGGAGGCGGATAGTTATGTGGGCAGATGCGACAATTTTTTGCGGGGATAACGTGGTAGGCAGCCAGCACAGGAACTGGTTAATCGACGAAACACGGGAAGGGCATTTGACCAGTAATGGGCACAGTTAAGCTGATGATGATAATAAATGGAAACAATGTCCTTGTACAACTTTACGTCGCAGACACTCACCCGTTTGGGCACACGTTCGATACGAAGCGTTTAGGACTGCTGGCCAAATGTTTGAGGATCTGCGTCTGGTGATTAGAACAGGGAGGTTCATGGCATACTAGTAACAGCACTTCAGGTGGGTACAACTGTCTGGTGTAACAAAACCACTTCACTAGCACGTACAAACAAGAGAACAGAGACATGATGAGCTTACAGCACTGCAATACTCTCACAGATCATGGATCGTGGAAATGACTAATTTAGGGATTTGTGTCTTTTGAATCAACATTGTGAAAGCGGGTCGAGCATGGTTGTGGCAGCCCTTCATAAACGACTGAGGTTAATGGTTGAGAAAACGTGGTGGTATGTGATCGTCATAATCAAGGGATGGCACCCAATCGTCTTGAATTGTCTTGAATAAAGTCTGAATGAAATAATGAATCGCCCATTGTCGCGAACGGTTTCACAAGCAAAGCAATCTTTTTCTTCAGTAGGACCCTTTGAGGGTCTAGTTGGTGCACACTGGCAATAATTACTAAGTGCAAGAAACTTCTTGCATATCTTCTTTGTGTGCGTCATTTATCTCGCGCTAAGTCGTACTTGTCCTTGCTCCAGATACAAACGGGATTCTTTTTCTTATTTTATTTCTGTTTCACGTCGTTAACGTCAGGGATATGCAATATTGTCCTCTGTCGGTGCGGGTTCGTGCTGAGACAGCTCATGACAAAGAAACAAGGTCTGAAAGCATGCGATAACTGATTTGACGACAGTATCTCACAGTTTTACTTGGTACCGCTTTCCACAAACCCTGCGGGCGACGCCCGCCACCATGCAGCGCATGAAACCTTCTCACGTCTAAAATGTAGCAAATGTAGCCAAAGCAATTCACGTTCTTTTCAGGGGCGTATGCCTCGTCAACGGGTCAGACGCTTTAGCCGCATTCACGGCGTCGGATAGGCCGCATTCCACAGCGTCTAAAAAAATACCGAGTGCGCGCAGACGTGCCTTCAGACGCGTCCTGGCACATGACTCTCCAGACGCACGTCTGCGCTGCGGGCGAACAAGATCCTTGAACTCCGCCCCGCCGAATCTGTACGCGCCAGCAGGCCACGTTTTTTGATCCGTATACGACGAATTGCGTCCCAAGGTCGTTGGTGCGTTATCACGGCGCTCCCGGTGTGTTCCCGGAAAGCGTTCGAGCGTGGGATGCCAAACAAGCTCCGGCTGATAGTTTTGTTTCGCCTTTTGTGCATTCCATGTTTTCTCCCGTCAGGTACTCGGAATGAGTGAGGCATTGGCCGTTGCGTTGACATGAGTGGCAGCTCGTTATTGATGACTGTTTCGACGTACTGCGGTGTCGGCCTGGGATGCTGTAATTGTCTCGTGCAACGCGAGTCAATGCCTTGAAACGGAAAGCGGTTTTGCCGGGAGACACTTCGTGACCTTTGTGAGTTGGCGAAGGTTTCAGTGTTGTCACTTGTGACTGTGCCTGTTTTTTTTTCTTTTTAAAGAGCGATTTTTCATTGCTATTACGTATATATTTAAGCGGGTGGGGGAGGGGGGTAGGGGGCACTATGAACATCAACAAAACGACTCAGTGCACGGAAGAAGGAGTATTCGTTTGGTGGCTTGGTGACATCTTTCTATTGATTTCAAAGAATGACGCTGTCATTGATGTGGCATAACTTGCTTGTTCGAACGAGCTTGAGTTCGAGGAAGATTGTTTATGATGTACAGGGTGACCGTCAGAAGCTTTTACAGACGCAGCGCTTACGCCATCACAGCAGTGAACATTTACCGAAAACATGCTGTCATACTGATTGCTTCATCTGTTGAAGCGAGAGGATTCTTCAAGGTACCAGCGGTGTATGTATAAATAGATAGATAGATAGATAGATAGATAGATAGATAGATAGATAGATAGATAGATAGATAGATAGATAGATAGATAGATAGATAGATAGATAGATAGATAGATAGATAGATAGATAGATAGATAGATAGATAGATAGATTATCAGTTAGACTATCGATAAACTTTTGTATAAATATTGTACAATGTCTTTAAGTGCTGGTATCAACTTCTGCTGAGCTTAAAAGACCAGCACTTATCTCATTCCTTCTTTGCATTGGATTCCATGGTTTTATACAGTACGCTTTTTCTCTTTTCCTTTTTGAGCCCTGTGATACACTGGCTTCTTTGGACGGCCATTCAGCTGTCCTGTCAACGGCCTTGAACCGAGACGCTTACGGATTGGCTCAGCCTTGAACTCCAGTTCCGTCCCTTTTGTGCGGAAATCCGGCTCACCCAGAGCGTAGTGTTACGTATCACAGCACCTCCTAGTTGACAGTGCTGTAGTCGTCACAGCTGGTGAACACACAGTAGCGTGCGCGTACTACACGGCTGGCTGGTGGGGCCGAGCGTTCAACCGTGCGCTGGGTTCCGACGAATTTCGCTCTCGGCATCAAAGAGGCCCAGCGAGTCCAGTATACATGTAACTTGCGTGTCCGGCGCCGTAATGTACGGCGCAGCTGTTCCCGGATTAGAGGGGCAGTGCACGCCTTTTCACAATAATGCTACTGATGCCGGCTACTCAGTAAAGTGTTTTGGGTTGTCCAAAGCTGTCTTCGTCGACGCTGTGTCACCGCCAATGTCACCGTCACCGTTGTAGTTGTTGTAGTTGTAGCAGTAGTGGGAGGCGCCGGCTGCGGCATGTGGCCACAAGGGACATAAGAAATAAATAAATTGAAATGATGGTTATGGTTATGGTTGTGCTCAAAATCATATAGGGCATGCTAAATGATGACGAAGATGATGATAACGCACGGGACCAATCACACTTTTTTTCTCTTATGTCCATGTTTCGGAGGATTGCTGTTGTTTATGGCCACTAAACATCATTTATATCCACTGCTTACCACACCCCCGTTTCGCTATGGCATAAATAAGCATGTACAGATACTTGCAATGCTAAATTAGGGACGTGCTGGGAGCATCCATGTGGACGGTGTGAACAGCCAGGTGGTGCCGATAACGTACGGGCGCTTATAGAAGCGTGCAAGAATTCTACCAGTGACACTGGTAACAAGTTATGGCAACCTGCCTTAGCACGAGCTTTATTTAGCCCCATTTGTCTTCAACTACCCCATTAGGCCGAACTGGTTGATATTAACCAGAACTTGGTCAACATTACCCGATACGATTGAGTACGGTGACCTTACCATAGCAAGCTTCAGAAAACTATATGAAATTTAAATACGCTTTGTTCTCATTTTGCCCTTCCTAGTGCGGCCGGAGGTATAGCACTGTCTCTGTCACATTTGTCTATAGCGGTAGAGCACGTGGCTGTGAGCTTGGTGCCGCCCCCATCTTATACTTCGCGTCAGCTGCATCTTCAAGTCGTGTTAAATATACAGCCCAAGGACCTAGCATGCAACGTGAGTTTGCTTTGAATACGGCATCGGTCTCTTTCGGAAAAGAAAATCTGCAGTTGAAGTACACGACTGGTCATTCTAGAAAAGTGCGATTCAGACCGTACAGAGTCCTCCACCTCAGTATCCTCTTTCGTTGGACTCGATCGTCTTCGCAGTCGAAGCGTCCGTCGCAGCGGAACGCGATGTGAACGCAGATTTTGCGGGCGTTCTTGCACGCTCGTCCTCAGCACACTTCTTGTCAAGCGCGCAGATGGTGTGGCGCTCGTCGGACCCGTCCTCCCAGTCCGGATGACAGTCACACAGCGACGCCTTCGGTACGCATTGACCGCTCTTGCAGGTGGACTCATCATCGAAAGAACACGCAGAACCTTTGCAGCCTCTCTCATCCGATCCTCCGACGTAGTCATCGTAATTATCGCACACGACGTCGAGCTGGACGCAGGGACGCTGGGGTGAGTCACTTTGGTACTCATTGCCGGCGCACATCTTCTTGGTGTGAAAGACCTTGACGCTTTCGTCGGACCCGTCGTCGTCGTCGACGTCACCGTCGCAAAGCACCCACAGCGGAACCCGCTGGCCATTGTCGCAGAAGATGTCCGTTAAGTTCCATGCCATGGCAGGGCAGTCCTTCTCGTCCGACCCATCGGCGCAGTCCACGTAACCATCGAAATGGTGCTCCCTGGGCACACATCCACTACAATAAGAACCGCAGTCGAATCCATTGACTGCACACGACATGGTAGCGCAGACGGTGGATGCATACTCGTCGGAGCCGTCTGGACAGTCTGGATAACAGTTGCAAAGCAATGTTCTGCTGATGCACTGCACGTGCTCGCACTGGAACTTCTTCCAAGAGCAGGGCTCGCGAGGACAATCTCTCTCGTCAGACCCGTCGCCCCAATCCTCGTCTCCGTCACACCTCCATAACTTCAAGCTACAGTGGCCGCTGTCACACAGAAATGACCTGTCATCGAAGCATAGGAGGTATTCCTTGTCGTAGTATTCCTTGTCCGAACCATCAACACTGTCCTTTACCCCGTCACACACCCAGCTGGAGGGTAGACAAGCGCCGATGTGGTTCCTGCACCGAAACTGGTCGGCGTGACACGCCTCGACTACGCTGGACGTTTCGTTCGACCGGTCGTCGCAGTCGTATACTGGGCGTCACATCGCTTCGAGCTGGATACGCACTGGCCGCCACTCGCGCACTGGAATTCGATTACCGAGCAGTTTCGCCTTGCCACGCAGTTCGCTTCGTCCGGTTTGTCGGAGCAGTCTGCTTTGCCGTCACATAGGAGCGCTGCCGGGGCGCACGTGTTGCTTCCGGCGCACAGTTTTACACGTACATTGCGTACATGAGGCTTCGTACACCAGTCGTCTGCCAAGCAAGCACTGGCCGCATCTTCTGCGATGACATGATCGACCGTGGTCCCGAGAAGCACCGTGTAGATGAGAAGAGACACTTAGTAATTTGTTTTCCCAGGCACCACGACGATGTCCATGTGTTCTATATAATCTTCCAGTACTACTTTGATGTTGAATAAAATGTTTCAAAGTAAATTCGTAAAGGAAAGGTCAAATTGACACCCTTTTTTTCCTCAGAGAGCCATGGATACACAGAGGGCTTTAGAATACCTTAAATACCTCTAGAGAACGTTTAGATTGTCGAAAGCTAGCGCCTTCACACTTTGAATTGTGAAGACCGCTTAGCACCAGCCGTTGCAGAAATATGAGTTGTACGGCTCGTCTTGTTAGCTCCACCTAGAGGCGCGAAGGTCGCACACAGCATGCGTCACCACGTGATTGATTTATTGATTCGTGGGGTTTAATGTCCCGAAACCACCATATGATTATGAGAGACGCCGTAGTGGAGGGCTGCGGAAATTTCGACCACCTGGGGTTCTTTACGTGCACCCAAATCTGAGCACACGGACCTACAACATTGCCGCCTCCATCGGAAATGCAGCCGCCACAGTCGGGATTTGATCCCGCGACTTGCGGGTCAGCATCAAAGTACCTCAGCCACCAGACCACAGTGGCGGGGCGCGTCACTACGTGTGAGGTAAGGCGATAAATGCTTGTTTGGTCCACCTTGGGTTTGTCATACCAACGCATGATAACAACAAACGAATAAAGAACTCTATCCGCCAAAGTTTACAACGGGAACTGCGATATCGGGGAACTTTCGCTTCAGCAAAGTGAAGTGACGGACCTGTCCTGGACGCGTACATGTACCGTATTTTGACTGTAGCGCGTGTTTCAAGCTGACTCGGGTCACAAAAAACTTTGTCTCGCTCTCCTCATCCGGCGCGGCATACTACGGTCAACAACTATCAGGTTCGAAAGAGCAACAAACGAGCGAGCTTGTACAAAAAAAAAAAGTCATTGCAAAAAGCACTCTGTAGACATAGCTAAGCAGCGAATCTGAAACGTGCTAACCAGTGTTTATGGCTGTGTTAATCCCAGTAGTACACGAGCGACTTTCTCAATCACTAAGGCGAAGGGTTTAGATGACACATCGAATGCTAAAAGTGACCGTCACTGTGAACACGAGGAACGCAAAAAATCACTACATAGTGATATCACACGATGACGTAACCTTGATGTGACACGTTTTGAAAATTTGATGACGTAATAACAAGACACCGTCACTGGATTAAAACAATAAAAAAAACATGCCAAGTCTGCGCTGACCGCACAGCGAGAGCTAGAAAAGCGGCTTTTCAGAGCCTTTCTTTAAAGCCATCTTTAGATCTGCTACAACCACACTTGCAGCGTATTCGCTACGCTATAAATCATTATAATTTTTGTGTAGTAGGGACCTATTCATTATGTCATCTATAGTATTTTGTCGGAGAAGGGTGGTACTCGCGAGAAATTTGCAAAAAAATTGCATTTTTTTTATGCTGTGGCTGACGATGAAGCATTGCCTGAAGCTTTTTTTTTTTTTTGATGAATGCGAAATTTTTCCATTTGATATTAACTTGCCGAGACACCTGTCTTTCTCCCTAATCATTATCTAGTTCCCTAGTGGGTGTACAGGACACCCGATAGTTAGATACGGCTGCTAACTCAGGATGTAAAAAAAACATTCTAGTTGGGTATTTTAATTCTCACCATACATGCTGGAGGTTCAGAACGAATCAATGTGGACAACGGTTGTGGGACTGGCATTTAAACAATCTATTGTGCCTGAACACTTGACCTCCCACATTTGTTCGAAGTCCATCACGCTCCGCCTTAAGTTTAAGTTTTGTAAGCTCGGCTATTTTTAGCTCATCATGGACAGCCCCGAATTGCGCCACCAAGAGTGATCACTTTCCTATAATGTTTGAGATCGCTTGCTCTACTATGCCATCATGTTCCAATGCCCGAATCTTTATAAACTATTCATAATTTAAAAATTACCTATAAACAGCTTTAGATTTTTCCTTTAAAGACAGTGATGAGACTAAAGCTATGAAATTAAGCGCTGTAATTTAAATAACATACAAAAAAGCTAAATTTTCGCTTGAATCAGCCCAGAGGGTACCCCATAGTGGAATTTTGACTGCTCCCGTGATCACAAACGACGAAAGGCAGCTTGGAAGAAGCTCATTTATAATTAGTCCACTGAGAACTGGTTGGATTATAAATTTATTGCCACTGGATTTAAACCACAGTGGCCCAAGCTACAGAGAGAAGATCATGACAAATGAAATTTCGATTTTCTATCGAAACCTCTAAATAAGAAATATTTATTTGGGTATATGAGATCTTGCAAAATCCTGACGTCTGCTGTAAATAATGATTACGAAAGCTTGTCTAAGGTCAGTTTGCAAGGGAGCTCAAGGCATAGACATGGCTCTGTGGTAGAATACCGGGCTGGCACGCAGAGTACCCGGGTTCGGATCCCACTGTACGTCTGTTGTTTACAAACTTGGTTTTTTCTTCGTGCGATAGTGGTTACGGATACCGGCGGTGGTGGCGGCGGACCACTACGGAGCACGTGACCCCCTTTGTGACCCCTTAACAGCTTCAGATGTAATAAAATGAAGCGCGAAAATCTCCCAGTACTTCCGATCTTCGAGGAAGTGCATCAGAAGCGACGTTGGGTGGAGAAAGTTTTAATACGCGGATTGCGTGTGGGAATCTATGCGATCGACTGAGAAGAAAAGATTCCCGTCGCCTTCGTGTCGTCTTAGCGCAATACATGGGGAACCGTGGTGCACTATTCGTTACGTACGTCTAGAAATTTTCGTTTACGTTTGTTTCCCGCTTTCTGTTTTTCGTATTAAGTGGATACCACTGGTCAGCAGTGGGTTTGCTTAATTTTTGTAGCCCATACCCGTGCAGGATGATGACCATTTTTCAGGTATACGTGGCAGCTGGATTTCCCTTTCGCCTAGCCATATAAAGCGTGGCTATCTAGCACGTTTAGCTCCCACTCAGAAGCTGCGTGCGTTGCAAGCAACACATCGAAAGAGCAGCAATAATGTATACATTACCCTCGAAGCCGGTCAACAGCTTTCCCGTGCTCTCGTCTTGCGTTGGGTGAGGAAAGCTGTTGATGGCGGGAATATAGAATAACGCTTTCGGTGTACACGATGTCGTAACATTTGTGCGGTAAAGGTACCGAAAGAAAGAGAAAGGGAAGACAGGAAAGTTAACCCCAAGATGACTTCAGTTTGCTACGCTGTGCTTGGAAAGGGGAAAAAGGGGTGCAAAAGAACGAAAGAGCAGAAGAGTTTGTGACAGTAGGAAGAAAAGTGTAGTGACTAGAGCACTATCCAAACACTAAGAAACATCGTTCTTAGCCAAACGTCATAGTTTGTCTCCTTGTCTGGTTGCTTGCAGGAACCGCAGCAGCGCCCTCAGTGCGGCTCGTGATGCCGACCGGGTACGCCAGGGCCCCAGGATTTTGTTCTCTGTCAGGGGGGAAGTGGTTGTTTTTGTGGGAAAGAAGAGAAAAGTGCACCCCGCAACTGTCTCTCGCCGGGGAGGACACCTCAGCAGTAGTGCACAGGGGAAGGGGTGTATAGAAATTGGAGAGAAGAGAACAGGACAGTATAAAAAAGTTTAATGCGATGACACAGCCCGCAGCCGGCGAGAAAGTCAAGCGGTGCAGGAAGAGCACGTTTTATGTCGTCGCGTCAGCAGTCGGTGAAGAGAAGGTTGTGGACCGTTGTCCGTGGAAGCCCGTGGGAGCCCAAGGGAGTGGTTGTTCAGCAGGCCTAGGACTCACTCGCTGGATGCCATTTCGACCGCTTGTGCCCCCGCGATCTCCGACGACAGCGCAGCTCCGGCCGACTGGGCTCGCCCTATACGCCATCTCCTGACGCCGACAAGAGCTCTCGCCGAGTGGTGCCCCGTCCTCGGACTCCTGCGACCATGTCCATCTTTCCTATCTCCTCTTTACTTCCGTCTTTTGCTGTCGTTCCCTGTCCCTGCGCCTCGCTCTCTCCTTCCTCTTTCTCTCTATCCCTTCAACTTTTAATCCTATCCTTTTAATCCCTCCTTTACCCCCACCCCTCGTGAGCTACTGTTGAGGTAGCTCACGAGGGGTGGAGGTCCTCCCCCTGAGAGAAAGTTAGGGGGCTCGCTTTTCTCTTCTTTTCATTTCAAATCACTCACTCACTCACACAGCAGGCCTAGTGCTGTTGAGAGGGTTGCTCTTGCCCAGTTTAAGCGCGTGCAGCCACAGAGAAGGTGTGGGACTGTTTCACTGAGCCCGCATATTTCACACGATGGGCTTTCAGCCATTCCATTAAGAAATGAATATGCGTTTGAGAACGCCACGCCAAGCCGAAAACAGATGCGAAGGTGTACGAAGCCTCACGTGCGCAATGTACGTGTAAAACCGACTTAAAAAGCGCTGGGGAGGTTTAGCGTCAAGAACGGTTGCCTTTCTTTGCGTAAACTACAGATGTAATCCACCATCAAGTTGCATTTTTTTTCCTTTAAGGTGGCGGTGCAGGATCAATACATGAATGGAGAAGATGGCTTCTGCCTTGAAGTCGCCTCAGGTAAATGCACACGGGACACTGTAAATTTACAAAGTTTGCCTATCGTAATTTAATCCTACCCCTGTCGGCATGCTGTCCACCAGATGTTACGAAGCCCTACTGTAATAATACAATATAGCATGGCATACATGAAGAGGTCATTTACCCGGGAGAGCGCGCTCGATGCGGAGACGCAGAGAAGAGCGCAACCCATAAGCACTCTCGGGTAATGATGAATCCGTACTTGTCCAGTTTTGTGCTTTGGTATATGGATAACTTGTTTTCAGTTCGATTTGTGATCAGCAGAAGCAGTCTTCAGAAGCTACAGGCACATGCTACAGATGCATGCTACAGGCCCATGACCATTAACGCCTGTCGGCAGCGCTGCAGCCGGGCAAGAATCTGTGATCCAACATCCATTACGTAGGGGATC